TAAAGATCGGTAAATATCTAGGGGATGAAATGGACCAAATACTTAATTTTTATCGGTTTCTCTGGTCGCTCTAGAGGCCGCAATTATCACCCAAACATTTTTACATAGAGAAGGGTAGCGGGCCAAAGAATAAGCATGCCTGTTTTGATAAGGATCGGTTAATATTTAGCGGGTCAAATGTACCCTGACTTTTGTGTGAAATATTACAAAATTTGTGTTCTATGGCGTATATATTTGCCCCTGAAGAACATAAACCCGAAAAGTTGATGGTGTATCCAAGGACAGTGGTTGACCTTTAAATTGATACCAATTATATGGTCGTATGTACTCAGATGTGGGAGATACACTTAAACATTTACAGGTGCTTATGTATTCGGATATTATTTAGTAACCCTTTACCACACTAGAGGGCGGAAATATAGCGCTGATCGCTTTAAAATGTTCCATGAAGTTCCAGTTATGGTCAAGGATAACGCCTAAAATTTTCGGTGACGATCAGATAATTATATTGTGATGAAGTGGTCTGAAAACTTAATTTTTTGTGTTTTTTTGAATCGATCTATAGGCTCCAATGGGAATAAGAACATCAGAACACAAGGGGAGGGAATCTGGACAAGTAATTAGAAGGGCTGTACTGAACATTAGTAATAATTGTCGGCCTCTAGTTTGTCCAGATGGTTCAAATATTGCCCAAGCTCAGAATATAGATCCACAGAAAGTTAGTTTTTCGTAGAAGTTGTGTAGGGTATCATATGGTTGGCCCCGTTCGACTATACTGCTCCGCTCACTGGTTTACAATTGTTTTTTTTTTTAATTAGTGAATATGGAAATTTCAAAAATTCAGTAGTGTTGGCGGGTTATTCCATTTGTATTTTTTCATTGCAATATTCAGGGGTAATCCAAGTTTGTTGGTTTCATAAAAACAACTTTTTATTAGTGGGAAAGTATGACATTGCCTACCAAGGTGTATGACAAGTAAGACTATATTTTCGAATCACACCACTGATCCTTTCAGGACTAAATGGTAATAAATTTGGTGCAAATCGAATTTAGGTGAACAGATAGAGTTGAAGACTTCAAATTGGGAATTAAAATGGCTGTTGGAGTGTAGGTTTGAGATAGTTTAGGAAACTTGTACTAATTAGTACGAAAAGTACTAAATGGTACTAAATCTAGTACAATTTTGGTTTAGCAGGAACGGATAGAGCTGAAATTTTGAATTCTTTGGATCGTGTTTATGTGTGGAAAAGTACTGAACCACACTAAATTTGGTACAATTTTGATTTGGGTGAACGGAGGGAGCTAGAAACCTAAAATTTGGAATTGTGGTTGCTGTTGGAGTGTAGAATTGAGATATGGAGGTATAGTTCTTATATGTACAATAATAGTAATATATTTGGTACAACTTGATATTGTGTGAACGGATAGATCTGGAATCCAGAATTTTGGAATTAAAATTACTGCTGTAGAATTGAGGTAGTTTAGGAAATTCGTACTTATGGGAACAAACAGTACTAAATGGTACTAAATTTGGTACAATTTGGATTAGTGTGAAATCCTGAAATTTGGAATTAAAATTTCTGTCGGAGTGTAGAATTGAGGTAGTTTAGGAAATTCGAACTTTTAGGTACGAAAAGTACTACATGGCACTAAATATGGTTCAATTTGAATCTATGTGAACGGATAGGGCTGGGATCCTGAAATTTATGATTAAAATTATTTTTGGAGAATTTAGGAAGTTTGGAAAAATCGTTAGGAAGTTTGGAAATCCTTAAATGTGGACTTCATATTATTTTTGGAGTGCATTTTGGAAATTCGTACTTATGGGCCGAAAAGTACTAAATTTGGTACAATTTGGACTTTGGTGGACGGGTAGAACTGGAATCCTGAAAGTTGCAAATAAGATTACTGTCGGAGTGTGTGATTGAGATAGATTTGGAATATGGGTACGAAAAGTACAGAATGGTATCAAATTTGGATTTTGGTGACCAGATAATGCTGGAATTCTTATATTTGGACTTACTATTGCTATTTGAAAGCTGGATTGAAATAGGTTTTGAAATTCGTACTTATGAGTACGAAAAGGACTAAATGGTAAAAAACTTGATATTAAATATAGGAATAGAGGTGGAATTCACGATTTCCATATAAAATATTATTTATTTGTTTTGTATTCCCTTTCCGCATACGAGCACTTGCTGGCATATCTATATAAATATACCTAAAACAGTTCCTCAAGTATATGTCGTATTTTACACTATATAATGAACTTGAAATAAATAAGCACCTATTGCAGGAAAATTGACCAAACCCATGTTGTAATGTTGCCTCTGAGCACCTCTGGTATCAATGTTTCTTCTATTCTCTATAGAAATTTCCAAGTCTAACATTCATCAACGTATGATTAGGTTTATCCTCCTTCTTTGATTTTCTTTGCATTGGAATTATCTACAGAATTTATAATCAAAATCAATTTGTTCAACGCTCCAGGAGTATCGGTTTTGCTTTTTGGATAATAAGGTTCTTGAAATGTTTATACACTAAGAAATTGAGGAAACCAATTAATTCGCTCTTCTACCAGTAGTTTCTAGCAAAAAAACAAATACATATATGTAATTCTTTATGTTGTGTCAATAGTATATTTCAAGGAGTGTGTCAAGAGTATATTTAGCAAAACTTGATCGAATCTAAACTTTGCAAAACCCAACATTTCCCCTGAATAAAGATTTAGTGCTAGTATGAGGTCCATTTATTTAAAGGGGTTCTCAATTTCATTTAAGCTGTGAACATACAAATTTTTAATAAACATAATAAGGTCATCGAGATTGTTCGATCATTAATAAAATCTCTCCAAAATAGCAAATAATATTTAGGACAAGCTCTAATATGCTTCATCTTTTGGCAGTTTATCGTCCGAATTTCCGATCTTTGTGTTATAATCATTATACATCCACAATAAGGTAGTGGTCCTCATTGGCTAACACCAAAAATGATCAATATTGGTCTACTTTTTACGATAGCTCCATATAGCAGTTCTTCTCAAAAATTCGGTATTTTGAGGAGTATAGGCACGTTTTCCAATCGCATTGGTTGTATGTTGGTATTTGAGGTAAAACATCCTGCTACTTCCGACTAAAAATTAGCAATATTGGCTGCGTTTTTTTTTTTTTTTCTGAAAAAAATCTGTAATTTGCAAAAAGGGGAAGTAAAAGGAATAGAAGTACATCTCATTTTCAATACTAAACATCCTAGGGGTTTTAACAATGTATGTGCATGCACAATCGCAATTTCAACAGACGGACATGCATAGATCGATATAAAGTGTTATTCTGATGAAAAATATACAAGATTTATGAATTCTCCGGTGAATATTTCAAGATTTTTCAATCGGACTAACAAATTTAATATATACTTCACCTATGGGTAAAGGAAAAAAATAAGTACGTATAACCTACAATTGATAATATTGAGAATTCTCTTTCGCAGAGTTTTTCAACAAGAGTTGTTACCTTGACATTTGACAAGTAGAAACCATTTTCGAAAAAAAGATGTGTCAATGGTGCATACACCAAAGAAATTTTGATATACGCCATTATATTCTATATTCGGAACTATATATGCAAAATGTCCTGTCACCATTCGGACACAATTATATATTGAGGCTATATGTAAATTTGAACCGATATAATATGCAAAACTTAGTTGAAAAACGCCGACGAGTATGTCTAACTTTTTTATTTAATTCTGTTATAATTCAAAATTCTCGTACATCACACATAGACGCGAGGAAAAACACTGACAACAGTATTCATTCCCAACACGATGTGGATTTTATTGAATTAAAAACAACTCAATACAAACATCAATGTTCAAACATAAACTCAAGTTTAACTAGTTGCTGTTCAAAATGCATATTAACAATTAGTATCGAATCATTGTTTGTTCCACAAAAATGCCACAAATCAGACCGCTACCAACGGAATTACAAAAAATTGCAATCGATGAATTGGGTGAAGTTCCGAACAGAATAGCTGATGATTTAAGCGATCTCAAGGAATGGATACAACAACATCCGCACTTGAAAGCCTGCATAGAAGATCAATTCCTTGTACAATTTCTTCGTGGCAGTAAATATAGTCTGGAAAAGGCCAAAGAAAAACTAAATAATTTCTATACACTTTCTACAAAATATCCATATTTGAGAAGTACCGACGATGTGGATGATCCTATATTTCGTAAGCTGCATAGAACGGGGTAAGGAAAATAATATGAAAAAAGAAAGTCAGCAGTGACTGATATTGCAAATTGGTCCATATAGGTCCATGTTTTTATATTTTCAATTTTCTTAAAATATTTTGTATAATTCCTGATATTGAATCTGACTCCAAAAAATATTGATAATTGTAAACAATTATTTTTAATTTTCAAATTTGTTTTCAGATGTTTGTGTCTTTTACCAATACCTCTCAATGGAAACGGTCCGCGAATAATTCTTGAGCAAATAAATTTTGGACCCCAAGACTTTACTACCATTGAAATTTGTAAATATATTTGGACCATGGCTGAAATAACATTACTCAACGATCCCTATGCCTGCATACAAGGTTTGGTGTTTGTTATGGATTGCTCCAAATCAACGCTGCAACATCTGCCACTGGTTACACCAAAAATTCTAATTGACTTCGTGATGTTTTGTGAAAAGGCATTGCCGTTGCGTATTAAAAAGGTATTTGTCCTCAATTGTCCACCTTTTATACAGACATTATTAAATATTGGATTATCATGTACTTCGGAGAAGTTAAGAAGTCGGGTAAGTTTGTCCGATGTTTATTCTTTAAAAAAAATAATATAATCTCCCTTTTCTTTTAGATACACATTTGTGAAGGATATAATGTGGAAAAGTTCGAGAAGTTTTTCCCCAAAAAATATTTACCGCAAAATTTTGGCGGTGAAAATTCCTCAATTGAACATATTTGCCAGGAATTTGAGAAAGTTATTGATGAATATCGAGAGTATTTTCAGCGTAATGCAGATTGTGGTGTTGATGAAAGTCTACGTCTGGATGAAGACAACATTCAGAATAGTGAATTTGGCGTTGGCGGATCATTTAGGAAAATAAATGTAGATTAGCTATTTTATTATATTTTGGACTTATGTAGTATAAAGAAGTAAATATGTTGATAATGGTGTTTTTACACGATATGTATTTTACATATGTGCTGTCACTTATTTCATCCATATGTAATTTCTTATGTGTGTCAAAATTAGCGGCGTACACAAAACATTTATTTTTGTGTTCAAATCGGCATATGTATTTTACATATGACATAACCTATAAACAAAAAAATCACTTTTATTTTTTCTTAAATTAACATCATGTTTTTATTAAACACCTACAAACGAAATAATAATTTGTAATTGTTGCCTTTTCATCCTTTTCTTTGACTTGCAATTGAAATATTTTCTTCCAACAATGTTTTTCATTCAAACAGCTGATTTCCTTATGTTTCACATACGAAAATAGAGCGCGTCCTATTCGGAAAAAAATACATATGTAATTGCATATCGTTTTGACACATTGAAATTTCCGTATGTTTCACATGACTAGTTCGATTTCCATATGCAAAAAAGTGGCAGCACATATGTAAAATACATATCGTGTAAAACCACCATAAGTTGGGGCGGGCCGAACTTTTTATACCCTGAAACACTTGGTCTGCATTCGAAATTTCTTAAATCGGTCGGGAACTTTATGTGGGTACCATATTATTAAATTATATGGCAATTGGTTGTTCTTGCTTTGAACAAATAATGTTCCAAATTACAGGCTTTGGAACATTATTTATTTTTTCACTTCGTCCTAATGGCCCTACATAGGTAACAATTTCAGAAATATATAATAATTATATATATGTTTTCCTTCGCCTTCACCGGCTTCTGACCGTAGGGTTACACATTTGTGGAAAGTAAATTTTTATTCACCGGCGATCCGATATGCAAATTTATATCCACATCGATAAGAAACCTTCAAAATACGGACAATGGGGCACTACTCATTGAAACTATTCCGAGGAAGAAACGATGGGAACTAGCCCAGTTAGTTGTTTCCTTTCCCTGATCTCCTTTCTTTATTCCCATGTTCTTCATTAGTTCTCGTTCGTTTTTCAGATGATGTCACATTGTTAAAAATAAATAAACATATGGCTCTGCCAAAGCCAATGTAGATACGATATTTAGCTTGGAAAATTTCCGATTGTATAGATTGAATGTCACTTTAAATTTCATGACCTCATACAATACTGACATAGTTTACTTTGATTAATTGTTTTACCCCTCCCATTCTCGATTTTAATTTTTCAAGATTTTCAATGGGCTGGTAAATCAATACCAATGCTTGTTAAGGTTTGTAATTTTGCACATATATATTGGAAGATTTAAAAGAGAAGAAAAATAATTTACAAAAAATTTTGTTGTTGTCTTGTTGTTGTTTTTTGTAATTAAAGAAAAGTCCTTATTTTTGATGGCGGGCATGATAACTTCTCACTGGAACATCGGAATCCGAAAATTCCAACGGTGTTAGAAAGAGTACAAGACTGGCTCTCGTATGAACTAGGATTATTGACTTCGCTCTAAAATTAACAAAATGGCGAACATTTGAAAAAATATTTTTGGAAAATCGCCAATTTTTTACCAAAACCAAAGTTAAAAAATAAGGAATATCTTCACCGATTGGCTTTATCCTAGTTCATACGATAGCTATACACTAACAGAGAAACGTGTAAAAATTTGGAATCGATTGGGTTATTAGTTTTTGAGTTATCGTGCCCGCCATTCGCAAAAGAGAAAAACGCGTTTAAAGTTTGAGAAGCCCTTTAGCCGTCACTTGATGCTGACACAATAAATCGGCTATATCTTCAAGAGTTCTTGAGATTTTCACTTGAAATTTTGTAGGGACATTCTTGAATTAATGTAGATTCGAATTAAATCAAAAAATGTTTGACCCCGAGAATGTGGTGGTCCCCTTAAATAATATTTAAACATTTATAACGCTATTTTTCGAAGCCATTAGTTTATAAAACCGTGGGATAGATATCATAATATTACAATATAAACTTGACTTTATAATAAAAACATGAAACAAACCTGTTTTATTAGCTTAGCTAAAGCTCATAAAAAACTAGGCCTAGATTAGATAATATGAATAATAACAGTTTACATTAGATTTAAAAGCGCGTGTTCTTTTTCACACTTTGAACAACTTTAAATGCCAATGTTGTTCTACAACAATAATTTAATTGTAAAATAATCAGTGTTGTTACTTCATTCATTAATAAATATATTGTGGGCCAAATTAATAACGTGAATATACGAATTCACTAACTAATTGAGTCATCCAAGAAGACAAATATGTGGTATAGAAAAGGGGGTATATTTTTATTTGTCACGTATGTGTTTACCGGTTTTTATCTCCCATAGACCTATTTGGAACATCCGAATCTAAAAATTCTAACGCAATAATAACGAGTACATATTTGTCTCTAGTATGAATTAGGATTATTGACTTCGTTGAATCATTAGCAAAATTAGATTTTTTTGAAAATGGTCTATTTTTGACCAAATCTTAAGCTGGAAAATAAGGACAATCTTGACCGACATTTAACCTGGGTCATATAATAGCTATGTAAGTCCAGAATAATGTGTTAAAATTTGGAATTGATTTGATTACACTGTGCGACACGAAAATTATTCAGGGGTTCTAATGCACCAATCCTGTTCAGTTGCTTTTTCTGGGTCACTTCGTAAATTTGTTTTATAACGATAAATGTAGAGAAAGACGTGGTTTCATAGATTTTCAATTTCAAACGGGTATAACTTCTTTTCTTTCTAACGGATTTCTCTTATTCTTTTTTTTCTTTCGAAGAGTAGAATTTTCCTAATTTTCCCTTTTTAGTTCCTAATTTAGAAATATACTAAAATAAGTGCAATATGCATTTTTTCATATACAAATTTTTGAAGTGAAAAAAAAGATATTCTCGTGGTCTAGCGACTCCAACTAAACAGAATTGGTGCATTAAAAATATATAATAATATAATTATTTTGTATCACAATGTTATTAGTCATTGAGTTATCGTGCCGCCATCCATAAAAAGTTTAAGAATCGCTTGATGCTGATTCAATAAATCTGCTATATCTTCAGGATCAACTGACATTTTAAGAAGCATTCTTGAGAAGTTATAGGTTCAGATTAAATAAAAATAGAAAACTCCATTTTTTGAAACCGGGCAGACTTTGTATGAAATGGTGCAAAATTATGTATGGGAACTATAGGTAAGTCTGAACATATTTGAGCAACCGTGTCATACTTCAAACGTTTATTATTTGGTGCACCATTTGCATGAACCCAGACGAAACAAGTGGAAAAGCGTTAAGTTCGTCCGGGTCAAACTTTGGATACCCTCCACCAAAGATATACTGACAGGTACTTGAGATGAAAATATAGGGAACATACCAAAAAGTGGGCCTATACCGACATTTCTAAAAAGGGGTTTACATAATGGCTAACTGTATACACCCTCATTAGCCTTTTGGCTAATGAGGGTTTATATAGTTTAACACGGGAAAATGTGCCTCATCGAAAAATTGGTTCTAGACCCCATGTTTCTTTGGACCAAATCCGTTTCAGAAAATTGTACATTTCATCCAAACTTTAACCATCTTATTATTTCTTCCAAACTTAGTTTAAATTCAAAGATGGGGAATAACGGCCTACTCCTTCTGGAACCTCCACACAGCGGCTAGGTCTAAATGCGGCTATAGTTCCTTATCGAACCTTACGTTATAATTATTTATCTAACTATCCTCCGCAGGAGAAATAATAACAACAGAGTCTTAGAACCAAACTCAAAACGTGGAATAAATTAGATATCTATTTTAATATAAAAGGGGGTTATATGGGAACTTCCCCAAAAAAAGGGGGGGGGGGGGGGAATATTAATATTTTTTGGTTGGGAGATTCGTTACCATATGCGACTACAAAATACCAAATTTTAGCAAATTCGGTTAAAAAACGCGCTCAAGAACCCCAACATACCGAAAATTGGTATTTTCATAATATTTTGTTGGGAGATTTGGTACCTATTAAGAACTCAAAATACTAAATTACAGCTAATTCGGCGGAAAAATATGATCAAAACCCCCAAAAAACTGAAAATTAGGAGGTACCGTTATATGGGGACTACCAGAAAAAGTGGACCTATATTGATATCTTTTGTGGAGACATTTAGTACGCAATAGAAACCCAATATAGCAAATTTAAACGAATTCGGTTGAAAAACGCGCTTAAGAACCCCAAAATACCGAAAATTGAGGGGTACCGTTATATGGGGGGTACCAGAAAAAATTGACCTATATTTATAATTTTTAGTAGGGAGATTTGGTACCCAATAACAACTCAAATTATTAAATTACATCCAATTCGGTAGAAAAATGCAACAGCTAAAATACCGAAAATTGGGTGTACCCTTATATGGGGGCTCTCCGAAAAAATCGACCTATATTTATAATTTTTTGTGGGGAGATTTGCTACCCAATAAGAACTCAAAGTACCAAATTTCAGCGAATTCGGTTGAAAAATGCGCTCAATAACCTCATAATACCCCTATGTGGGGTCTGTCCGAAAAAGTGGACCTATATTTATAATTTTTAGTGGGGAGATTTGCTACCCAATAAGAACTCAAAGTAGATAATTTCAGCGATTTCGGTTGAAAAACACGCTTAAGAACCTCAAAATACCGAAAATTGGGGGGTACCCTTTTATATGTGAGCTATGCCTAAACGTGGACCGATATAGCCCATCTTCGAACTTGACCTGCCTGCAGACAAAAGACGACTCTATGCAAAATTTTGGGGCTCTATCTAAATTCGTTTACACGCTAGAGTGATTACAACAGACAGACGGGAGCAGACAAACCATTTTCTCCAATTTCAATAGGGGCCTCTATGGTGCCAAACAATTCGGATCATAAATGAGGCCTCTACTTTGTTCACAAGAATATATGTGCATATTCTTAAAAGGAACTATGGGTCTATCTCGATACCTTTTCCCTGTTACAAACAGATGCACAAAGAC